GATTGGCACAGGACAGAGCGGAGTTTAGGGCTGTTGTACATAGGGTCGCTATGAGTCGCAGGCGACTCGACGGCACATAACAACAACAACAAGAGTGCTCTGCAGTATGTAGGGTTTTCTAAGGCCAGTTATATTTCAGAAGTGGATGGCCAATCCTTCTTCCTAGTCTGTCTTAAGTTGGATGCTCAGTGTTAGAAAAATATCTGATAGACAAGTATTTTAACCTAGCAGGTGAAAGACACTTCCCTTACAGAAATAGCCAATATATTCATTACCCCTCCCTCCTTCCCCAGCACGTGTGACTTGTCTCTACCCTTTCCCTGCTACCTCCCCATTCCTTGCACACCTGGCTACCTGGTCAAGCCCTCCCTTCCCCAGCCACCTCTCAATATGATCACCAGTCACTTCTGTGATGTCTTGCTCTATACACTGCTTCTGTTCTCTCATGCTATTTTCCATCTCCTGTTTAGGAGGATATAAGTCCAAATCACATGTACCCACTTCAAAGAAAGATTTTTGCTTGAGGCTGTACTGAGGGAAGATCCTGCCCACAGAGCTTCTGCTAAGTTCTGTGACTTACTGTCTCTGTTTATATTGCTGACACGTGATAATTCAAAGATCGGGACAGGTCTCTTCTAGATGTGATACTGTGGTGGTGTTTTTTAACCTGAAGATATTCTTTCCCTGGAAAAAGAGGTTAAGGTAGCCAATGCCCTTCTGGGAGAAAGGCGTTACCTGATCAAGGAGATTAGAGAGAGCTCTCAGATCCCCTCTTGTGTGACTCCGTGGGTTCCAGATGCTTTGTGTGTGAGGTCACCCAGAGAACTATAAAATGCTTGCTTCTTGAAACTTACACTACAGATGTTTATGGAATATTCTACCCTTGATCTGGGAGGGCTAATTTTAGTCTGAGCCCGTCTAGTGGCTGAGTGGGTAAGGAGTAGTGATGCCAACTCCAACAAAGGAGATTCATATCTACCAGTTACTCCAAGGAAGAAAGATGGAAAATTTCCTCCTGTGAGATTTGTCTCTAAAAACCCACTGGAGGGCCAGCTGTGAGTTGGTTATGACTCGATGGCACATAAATGTGATAGTGGATCTTTGATCCATCAGTGATAGTTTTGTCTACCTGTGATTCAGCTTTACTTTGGGAGATGAGGAACAATGTTATAATATGGTTTACATAAATGTTCGTTAACACTATTCAAAGACATGAGCATTTCATTAAATTAATACTTAGAGTAGTATGTTTCATTTTATTATTAGGAAGCAAAGGCAACTAGGGTGCATCTCACATACTTTGGGCATTTTGTCAGGTGGGGCCAGTACTTGGGGAAACAACATCGTGCTGAGAAAGACGACGGTCAGAGACAGAGTGGAAGACTGTCAACAAGGTAGACGGACATGGTGACTGTCAACATTGGATCTGAGCACGTTGGAGGTAGTGAGGAAGATGCAGGGCAGGGCCAGGTTTAGATCTGGTGCTCACAGAGAGCCGCTGTGAACTGTAGCACCCAACAGCAGCAAAGGCAAAGTTGGTTTTCTTTTTTTGATTTTTTTCATTTTTGGTGCATAGTTTGAAGGGAAATAGAGAAGATGAATTTCCTTTCAGCAGTTCATACATGTGCTGTGAATTGATTGCAGTCCTTACATTGTAAAGTCCCTCTTCCCACTTCCTCCCAGTGTTTCCTGTTTCTATTTGTCCTCCTCTCCCAATAGGTCCTGCTTTCTAAATTTTGTCTTTGGGTAAATTCTGCCTTTTGACTATGAATGGCTATGTTTTTTTCCCCTTTCAACCAAACAATACAGAAGTCTGTAAAGTGAACACTAACACTGAAGAGTTACTGCACTCCTTATTGTTGTTAGATGTCACTGAGTCTAGTAAGACTCTTGGTGACCCTGTTAACAAGAAATCTGCACCTTGCCCTACCATGCAGTATCCTTTTGATGATGTGCTCGAGTTCATCAAAACCCACTGGGGAGTCACAGTGTATGAATGGGAGTCAACTCAATGGCATTAAATTTCAGGGTCAATTTCTTCTTGTTGTTGTTCATTGCCATCAGTAATGGGTTCAGTTTCATGCCGGACAGATGACTAAGGGCTATGATCTTGGGGATCCCACCTGTTTCTTGGGAAGCTTGGGGTTTTTAATGATTTTGAGTTTTACTCCACATTTTCCTCTTTCTTTATCCAGAACCTTGTAGTGTAAACTCATCTCAAGCTTTGACAGTTTCAAGATCCTAGAGGGTGAGGTTTGCAGTGTCCCTTATTCCATTTGAGGAATTGTTTCTATGTACCTTTGATTGTCTTTACTAATTTTTTCATGATCTGGACTGGGAGAGACTAATAGTTAACCCGTAGGTGACCACACACAAGTTTTTAAGAGACCAGTGTCTCTGTAGAACATTATCTTTGTGGACAATGTTGTCTTTGCTGATGTTAGTGTCCTAGGAGACAATGGTTTTGAGCACCCAGGCCCAGAGACTCAATCTTTCAACATATTTGTTGTTTTTGTAACTTTGCCTCCATTATGCTTTCCTTTAGACATAGATGTTTCCACCACAGAGGAAGATTTATCTTCTATAATGTTTACGGCCAGGAAGACCCAATGGAGAAGTTCTACTCTGTAACATGTGAGGTTCCTGTGGTGGAAATCTACTTGATACAAGAAGTCTGTGTGAACAATATATTAGGCTCATGTTTTGCAATCTGTATAAGATGGTCTATAAGGACTCTTTTCTGGAATAGAAGCTATTGTGCAATTGGGCAGATGGGTTGTGATGATGCTCATGTGTTTCTCCTCTTTCTGAACAGAATGTACCCCCTGATCTGTCAATCTGCACCTTTGTGCTGGAGCAGTCTCTGTCCATCCGGGCCCTGCAGGAGATGCTGGCCAACACCATGGAGAAGTCCGAAGGGGCAAGTACCTTATGTCTAGACAGTTGTTAATAGTGTAATGAAATGCTACACAAATGGTATTTTCCCAGGTATTGGAGAGTGCCTTTTTGCTGAACGAATCAATGCCGTTACTTTATGCAGCAGACCTGGGATGTCTCAGAGAACTGAAATGGAAGAAAAAGAAGAAACGCAGACAACTGAGTGACCTCTTTGGGGCCTGTCTCTGATTTCATGCTTAAGTCCATGTTGTATATAGAACTGTCCTTTGAGAATGTGTGTCATATTACATGCTTGGAGCTGCAGTGACTCTGTTTATTGATTGCTTTTTGCATGGCTATGTGTCATTAGCCTCCCTTCCTCCTGTCCTTCCTTCTTTCCACTTTCACTCCCTCCCCCTCCTTCTCTCCCTCTTTCCCTCCCTCCCTTTCTCTCTCTCCTTCCTTTTTCTTCCTCCCTTCCTTCCTTCCTTCCCTTCTCTTCCTTTCCTTCTTTGCCACTAACCCCTTGAGAACATTCAAAGTTTATCATAAGTCAAATTTCATGGCACTCTTTTATCCTTTAAGTAATGGAATCCTGGTCCGATTGCTTACTCAGTTGCAGTTTTACAAGCAACTGATCATTTTCTTCTGCACATTAAATTTCTTATTCCATCTCCTGTTGCAGTCCTTTTTCTCTAAAAGCTTATTTCTTGTTTTGTAAAGAGTGGTCTCTGGCTAATTACATATTCTAAACCAATTCATCAAAGCTTTGATTTTTTTTCAGGAAAATGAAAGATAAAATAATTGTTTCCTAGTTTAGTATTTTATTTGATCAGGCAGGACAGGTTTCTGTAATTATTATAGAACGTGTTTTCAGGAAGGGACAGTCCTTGGAAAAGGAAATCCTGCTTGGATTGGTGGAGAGTCAGGGTAGGAGAGGAAGATCACGGATGAGACACAGTGCCTGGGGCAATGGGAGCTGGTTTGTCAGAGATAGTGAGGTTGGCTTAGGAGAGAGCATGGTTCGGAGTTATCGTTCACTGGGTTGTTATGAGTTGTCTTTGACTTGATGGCACACAACAACAACAACATTATTTGTTAAACTTTCCTGGAATAAAACTGAAAATTTATTTTCCAGCCTTCTTGTTCCTCATGACTTTTATTAATGTTAGTCATTGTCCTTACATTAATACATAAGAGGATAAAATATTTAAAAATAATTGATCAACTGAAATAACATTATTTCCATCAGCATTGTTTTTTGTTTACTTTTATTTTGCACAACTTGGTTCTTCAATTAGTTTTTGTATTAATTTTAAATTTTGGCAGTATTAGTAGTAAGTGTTGAGGATAAACCTTAGTAATTTTTATTTTATTATATAATCTAAACTCATTTTACCAAAGTATATTTATATAAAATATTTACCAAAGTATTTTATCAAATATATTTCTATATTATGGTTTCAGCTTTTAGCCCAATTTTTTATTACTGCTTCATTAAAAAGAAATTCATTCTAAATTACTACTCTCCCAAGCACAACTTATAAGATAGGTTTAATTTAAGAAGCAGTGAAAAATTTCTCAATATGTCTAGTGCAGTCTCCATCTGGGATAAGTAAGTGTTCTGATATATAAGCATCATCAGAGTGTACCAGCTGTGAAACACAAGTAGATTTTCAGAGAGAAAATTCATTTCCTCTTTGCATTAACATCTGGGAAAATATGTATTGCCACATCACCTATCTTTGGAAACACTAAGTTGTACTTAAATTGCTGTAAGTTGAATTTCCACGTTGTAGAATGGTTCTATAGATTCAAACTCATTACTTTTGAGTTAGGACTGACTCCTGCCTGTCCTTCCAGCGGGTTTTCACACAGAAGGAGCTTGCCCATTTTTACCCTCAGGCAACTGGTACATTTGAACCTCCAGAGATGGGAAGTCTTTCAGTTAGCAGCACGGTTCTCTACAGACTATGCCAATTTAGCTGTAAATTAAGTCAGAACTGACTTAGTAGCTGACCCTCTAGCTGGTTTTCAGAGGCAGTATAATCTCACGGAAGGATATTGTCAGTCTTTCTCCCACAGTGCGGTGGATTCAAACCATATACCACCAGGTTGGCAGTACAGCTTTATACCACTAGGCCATCAGGGCTCCCTGGAGTTGAATTAGGCATGTTTGAATTTTCTCTCTCTAGGTTGGAAGTAACTGAAAATACTCTTTTATACTTCTTAAAATTCTCTGCCTGGGACATTTTTATTTAGCTGAATATTACTTTGACTTGCTCATCTTGAAAGATTGTGTTAGATAGAAAGTAACTTAAGTGATTTATGAGAACTATGTTCAGGAAAAATATTTAATTGAATTTAATTTCGTGTTGGGCTAGTTATAATTTAAGGAAAAGAGCTCAGTGGGTAAGTACTAAATTACTGGCCCAAAGGCAGGCAGTTTTAACCCACCTACTGGCTCAATAAAAGAATAAAATCTAGCAAACTCTTCTCCCAAAAATTACAGTGTAGGAAGGAAATATTACCTGTGAGGACAGCTTTAGAGGTGACTGCTACTAATAGCAAAACCTTTTGAAGAAAATTTCTCAAAAAAAAGTCTTCAAACTCATTGCCATCGAGTTGGAACCAACTTAAAGCTGGCCCGCCAGTGAGTTTCCCACGACTGTAAATTGCAAGGAAGGAGCTGGTGGATTTGAAACACCTTCTTTGGGTGAGTAGTGCAGCTCCTTAAACACTGTACCATCAGATCTCCTTTTTTTTTTTTTAAGAAACTATCATCAAGATGGCTTAGGGAATATTATATTTTAAAGAAGAGAAAGGTTCTTTCTCAGGCTGGTGGACAATTTGAGATCTGTCCAGGAACGAGGCTCAGATTATTTAACACATTGTTTGGTTGAGTCTCTCTCTTTCATGGGTACCCTTGAATCAGTCCTGGGCACTGATGAGTCATTGATCTGACCCTCGTGTCAGAGGGAAAGGTCTGGAGAGTGTTGCTCCTTTGAGGCCTTCTGAGGGGCTGAATGATTTGGGGGAATCCTGGAGGGACTCCAGACCGATGAGGATCAGGGAGCATTCTGGAGTCTTGGGGCAGTGGTTGCTTGCCAAGAGGTCACATTGCCCACTATTATTACAGTCATTTGAGTCACAATGGTGCACATCAGCCAAATACCACATCTGATGCTATTGATGCTGCAGTGGCTTGTTGGTGTTAGGTGCCAGAGTCACCTGCGACCCATAGTGATGCTATGTTGCATGTAGGAATTCATGTATTTTAGACGCCACAGGTATCCATTTTAAATAGATGCATCTCTTGGTGTCCCCCTGTTAATTCTTTAGGGAGCTTTTGTGTGAATCATATTGCCAAGAAAATTGTCATCTCTAGCTTTACGAGTTACCTAAAATAAATCATGCATGTGATTTGAATCCCCAGCTGCTCTTCCAGAGATGGATGGGCAATCTCCTCCTGTGTGATATACTGCCTCTGAAAACTCACTGAAGGGTCGGCTATGGATTGGTTTTGACTCAATAGTGCACAATAACAACACACCAAATCAAGGGAGCTCTAATAGTCTAGCCAGTAAAGAGTTGTGCTGCGAGTCCCAAGGTGTATAGGTCGAATCCACCAGTTGCTCTGTGGGAGATAGATGGGCATTCTTGCCTCTAAGGAGCACTGTGGTTGTACTTCCTCCAAGACAAATTTGTTTGTTGTCTTGGCAGCCATGACCTTTTCAATCACTTGCTATGCATCTGAGAGCAGTGAATAAGGATAATGGAAGAAGAATAGATGCCTTTGAGTTGTGGTGTTGGAGAAAAGTAGAGAATATTACATGGGCTGACAAAAGAACAGATAATGTCTTGGAGAAGGAGCACCCAGGATGCTGTTTGGAGGCAAAGATGATAAAGCTTCATCTCACATACTCTGGACATGTTGGAGGAAAGGCTGTTCCTTGGACAAGGATATCATACTTGAAAATTAAATCCATTTCCTGAGCACAGTTCTCATAAGTCATTCTGAAATATTGCTACATATATCACCTAAGTTACTTTCTATCTAACACAATCTTTCAAGATGAGCAAGTCAAAGTCAGATTCAGCTAAATAAAAATGCCCTAGGCAGAGAATTTTAAGAAGCATAAAAAAGCATCTTCAATTACTTCCTACCTAGAGAGAGAAAATTCAAACATGCCTAATTCAACTCCAGGGAGCCCTGATGGCCTAGTGGTAAAAAGCCGTACTGCCAACCTGGTGGTATATGGTTTGAATCCACCGCACTGTGGGAGAAAGACTGGCAATATCCTTCCGTGAGATTATACTGCCCCTGGAAACCACCAGCTAGAGGGTGAGCTGCTGGGTCAACAAAAGAGAGGAAGCCTCCCATCAAGATGGAGTGACACAGTGACCTCAGCAATGGCTTGAGTGTGTCAGACATTTTGAGGATGACACAGGATAGGACAGGGTTCATTCAGATCTGTTGTTCATAGGGTCACTATGAGTCAGACTTGACTCAACAGTACCTAACAAACAACATCAACATGGATAAGTCACCTACCTTGGAATTCTCCCTCTCCAGGTCTGTTTGCATAGTGGTGCTAGGGTGAAGGCTTGCAAGCAGGACCTTCCTGCAGAGAGCTACTTGAGAAAAGCACCTCTGCCGTGCCGTACTTAGCTCTTTCTCATCGCTCACTAACTTCTACAGTCGAGTGGATTACAGTCCACGGTGACCCTACACTGGGTTCCGGGATTCCAAATGGTTGTAAGAGGAGACTGCTCATCTTCCTCCCTCAGAGTTTTTGATGGATTCAGTGAGTAGATGAGCTAGTCAAGCTCACTACCATGGGGTCGACCTTTCAGTGGGATTTAACAGAGAGTTGTCCTGGAGAGGGTGAAACCAAGCTGCTTCTTGGGGCAAAGGATTTTGTAGCTTCATCAGACATGTCTGAGCATGTTGCCAGGAGGGACCAGTCCTTGGAGAAAAACACCATGCCTGGAAGGGTGGAGGGACATTGCAGGAGAGGAAGACCCTGGATGAGATGGGTT